CTTGGTCGAAACTGGATATCAATTTTAAATCCAAATTGGAGAAGTCATATTTTTGCAAATTCTTTGTCAGTTTCAAAAATGTTTAGTCAAGGGGAGAATTTGGTACTTGAGTTAAAGTCAAAGTATGAAAATGTTTTCAAATCCGAGACAAATTCTTATATAAAAGATTTTGAAGTCAATATTAAGTTAGCTAAAGAAACAAAACCAATTTTTCACAGAGCATACAATATTCCGTTTGCTTTAAAATCAAAAGTCGAGTCAGAGTTAAACAGTATGTTAAAGTCAGGAATAATAAAAAAGGTAAATGCTAGTAACTGGGCCAGTCCCATAGTTATTGTTCCAAAAAAATCCAACGAAGTAAGAATTTGTGTTGATTTTAAGAAAACATTAAACAAAGTCATAGAAACAGATCATTGTGTATTGCCATCACCAGAAGACATTTATTCAAATTTGTCATATCAAAAATATTTCACGGTTCTTGATTTACAAGGAGCATATCAACAACTTAAGGTGAGTGAGCAATCTCGAGAGTTAATGACAATAAATACACATTTGGGTCTTTTTCAATACAATCGTCTTACATATGGAATAAGTTCTGCTCCGGGAATTTTTCAATCCATAATGGAGTCAATATTAGCAGGTATAAAGAACACAAATTGTTACTTGGATGATATTTTAATCTATGGTAGTACTTTAGATGAATGTCATAAATTTGTATTACAAGTTTTAGAGAGATTAAACAAATTTAATGTTAAGGTCAATGTTAAAAAATGCAAATTTTTTGAAAGTAAAGTTGATTTTCTAGGACATACCATAGATGCAAATGGTATTCATCCAAATAAAGATAAAGTCAGTGCTATAAAAAACGCGCCAGTGCCTTCAAATTTAACGCAATTAAAGTCCTATTTGGGATTATTAAACTATTACAGGAAATTCATACATATGATGTCTTCAAAATTAAAACCGCTTTATGATTTATGTAAGTCTGATGTAAAATTTGAATGGTCACAAGAGTGTCATACCGCGTTTGAGTTAAGCAAAGAGTTGTTATTGGCTGACACAGTGCTTACTCATTATAACCCTAAATTGCCGATTTTTTTAACGTGCGATAGTTCAGGTTATGGTGTGGGAGCCTTGTTGAGTCATATAGTAGAAGGTGAAGAGCGTCCGGTCTTGTTTGCATCAAGCACATTGTCGGAAGCAGAAAAAAATTACTCCAATATTGAAAGAGAAGCTTTAGCTATTATGTTTGGTGTTCGTAAATTTCACAAGTATATTTTTGGTCGTAAATTTATTTTAGTAAGTGACCACCAGCCTTTACAATACATTTTTGGAAAAAATAAGGGTATACCTGTGTCATCGGTATCGCGAATAACTCGGTGGGCCATAGCATTATCAGGTTATGATTACGAGATTAAATATAAACCGGGAAAACTTGTCACAAATGCGGATGGGTTATCACGTTTGCCAGAGCCGGGTAAAACCGAAATTAATGAAACAATTTATTCTTTTAATTCAGAAGAGTCAATACCTTTAAATTTTTCAGATATTGCCAAAGCTACAAAAAAAGATATTTTATTAGCAAAGGTCATGGATTTAACTATTTCAGGTTGGCCGCAAAAAATTAATAATGATCAATTTAAACCATATTTTCAACGAAGAAATGAACTGTCCATTGAAAACGGGTTTTTATTATATGGTAGTAGAGTTATCATTCCAGAATCAATTAAAACGGAAGTTTTAAATGCCTGTCATGATCAACATAGTGGAATGGTAAGAACAAAAATGTTTATGCGTTCATACTGTTGGTGGCCTTGTATGAATCAAGATATAGAAATGTTAATAAATCAATGCCATGTTTGTCAGGAACATCAAAATTTTAATAACAGTAATTTACATATATCTTGGCCATCAGCACCAAAAAATTTTTATAGAGTAAATATAGATTTCTTGCATAAATTTAATAGAACATTTTTACTTCTTATTGATAGTAGGTCCAAGTGGATAGATATTAAACTAATGAATAAGGGCACAAATGCGAGGGAAACAATTTTAAAATTAAAAGAAATATTTTCTATAACAGGTATTCCAGTAGAGCTGGTTTCAGATAATGGACCTCCTTTTAGTTCTCAAGAATTTATTAAATTTTGTCAATCAAATGGCATTAAACCTGTCAAGTCACCACCATATCATCCCCAGAGCAACGGGAGTGCGGAAAAAGCCGTACAAACTGTTAAAAAAGGTTTATCGAAACTGTTTGCAAATCAAAATAGGAATTTGTCGTATTTTGAAATACAGAATCAAGTATTAAATTTTCTTTTTGGATATCGAATTACTCCTTCAACAGTAACAGGTCTTTCACCTGCTGAGAGTGTATTTAAAATTAAACCTAGAAGTAGATTTGATTTATTGAAACCTATAGGTACTACTAATGTAGGGGGTAAAAATGACAAATTTGTGAGGAATGTAAGATTATTTAATGTAAATGATAGAGTATATGTTAAAAATTTGAATACTAAGCTTTGGGTCACTGGTAAAATTGTCAAAGTTTTGAGTTTTAGTACCTATCTGGTATCCATGGGCAATGAAATAAAACACATACATGTCAGTTCATTAAGACCTTGTTTTGACAATTTCACTAAGCCTGAATTAGATAATATTAAACCTAACTTAGAAACTACAAATGTTCAAGTAGATTTAAGAAATAGTGAGTTAGATGTTCAGAAAAACACAGCGAGGGAAAGTGAAATTGAATGGGAAGAAGTGTCTCCAAATCCTGATATTGACAATACACCTAAATGTGATGAAATGCCTGTACAGACACCTCTTAAATGTACTAGAGTGGGTAGAATTGTAAAACCGCCTGAGAGGCTGAATTTATAAAAAATTTTGTTCTTAGAAGGGGGAAAAATGTTGTATAAGCTAGTTTTTAAGATATTTATATTTCGCGCCTACTTTAGGTTGGCAACATAGTTGGAAAACCTGGTTGTCAGTTTTCGGGCATTATAAAAGAAACGCTTGTAATAATTCATTCTTCGAATAAATATGTTTGTGTTAACTACTGATTATTATTGAATACACAACATTGACAACACTTATTTCTTATTTTTGGCAACCACGCTCTGCTACCATGTTACCAAAGTAAAACAAAGTGTTCCAACGATCTAACCGTTAATACTCTTAGTGTTTTAATTTACTTTCTTAAAAAGAGAAAAACTTGTATAGACTTTTAAAGACTTTAATTAATTTTTAATATTTTAACTCGACAAAAATATTCATTATTATTACAGGTAGTAAAAAAATACTTGAATATAAAACAAAATGTTCCAACTTCAACAGTTTACCCATGGGAGGTAAGTAGAGCTGGGAGTATCTTGAAAAAAAAGATACATAAAAGTAACTTAAATACTTAAAGTATCTAAGATACTTTATCTTAGATACTTTTTATATTGGACAGAAAGTATCTATAACTAAGTAACTAAGATACTTTTTAAAGTAACAGATACTTTTTAGTGTAAAACAATGTAACAATAGCCTAGTTGCCATAGCGGGACCAGATAAAAGTATTTTTATTACATGAAACCTAGCTGTGGGAAAAGATAAAACCTAGCTGTGGGAAAAGATAAAACCTCATAAATGCAATATATTGCAAGTTTGCGCCCGAGCCTGGTAATGGAGTCTCGGACTCTATTACCAGCCCTCGCAGGCTCGGGCGCAAACTTGTTCTCGACTGGGAAAATCTACTCACCTCCTTTGTACTGTAATAGGTATGCTATTTTTAATACAGTCAGGAATAATAAATAGCTGCCTTATTTGAATTGTTTTCATAACAACCATTTTTAGATGTGTAATATTTCGGTTTATTACGAACATAACTTTTTTAAAATTTAAAAGGCTAATAATTCAACAAACCTTAAACTACTCATCATTAAAAAATATATATTTTCCTAAAATTACCTTCCCTCACGTTGTGTGGCGTTAGTGGGCCATTTTAGAGATACCCTGCAGTATAAACTTGTATTGTTTGACACGTTCAATATAAATATGAAGCCTACACAAGGAGTTCGAACTCCACGTATACAAATAATTTCCCAAAATAGAAAGCCCTGCTTAAAATACCCCATAGAGACCTATATAAAATAATCTTTCGGGCGCTACCGGATTCAATATGTGCATTTGTCCATGGTTTTTTCCGGATACGGCCCGATAGAAAATTTATAGGAAATTGCCTATAGGCACACCATAACTTTTACATTTTCCCTATTGAGACCGATAGCAAATAACTCCATGAAGAATATATATAGGGATATCCCTATAGAACAACCATAAAACATTTGACAAAATTTTATTAAATCCTATGGGGTCCTATGGGTGAAAGACTAATTTCTACATTTATGTGTATTTTCCCCATTGAAACCAATAGCAAATAAATCAAGGGTGGATATCCCTATAGAACAACCATAAATTCCAACTATAGGTCCTATACATACCGATACACCCTATAAAAACACCATACATTCCGATACAAATATCTATCGGTTTGCACTGGGTCTCTATGGGGTATTTTAAGCAGGAGGGCGTTTAAGCAAACGTCAGTACAAAATGAAGATCAGCACGGCTAGTGATGAAAAAAAAACACACATTGGGATTTATTGGGCAGGTGCTGCCGATTTCCCCTATTAAGCGTACTCCTTGTGTAGGCTTCATACAGTGCTTGCAAATCCAAGTCCGACCGCAATGGAAAGGACGGCTGTTCAATACCCGCGTGAAAAGAATAAGGATAGAATGCCAAACAGAATTTGATTGGTCAGAGCGTCAGGCGTGCGTATTGTAAGCGCCTTCTGTTTGGCGTTCTATCCTTGTTATTTTCACGCGTCCTTCTCAAACCGGTCGGACTTGGATTTGCAAGCACTGTATATATATATATCTTTTTTTGTATTTTTTGCACTTTGACATTGCTAAATTGGGCAGTAAAAGTAAAGTAAAAATAATATATTTACCCCTTTTCTATGTAATTAGTGCAGTAAATTATATCTCTAGTAGCCTTTACATATCCTTCTAGACCATAATACAACAACGAAGCCCAACAAACTGCAATATTACCCCCCGCTCTGGAACCACTTACAGTGGGTGAACCATATACACCACCAGGCCAATCTGTAGTGACAGTATATTGGTGGTGACGATATCTAAAAGAATATTTTTACTTTAAAAATACATACATACGTACATAAATGTGGCACCATCATTATCATTTTGCGATGTTATGGATCACGGTTGATCGCAAGCATTTGTATTTTTGGAGAGAAAAATGTTGGAAAAGTCGTGTGATAAAGTGAAAATGAATTAACCTAAGCCTTTATTAGAAAAACTTTATTACTTGACACGTTTTGTATAAATTTTTAATGGATATGCAATGTCGTGCCTATGAACTAGTACTAGTTAGGATTGGGCGCGGGAGACCTACGCCTATCCGACGTAAGTGGTAGGGTATGCGAGCGGGATATGTAGGGAGAAAACCGTAAGCTGTGCCAGAAGCCTACTTGCATTGGTGAGGTCATAAGGTCAAAGTTGATAAATGTCGACTTTAAGCTAAGGCACTTTTAACACCTACCCAGTGATAGGTGTCAAAAGTTGTGGGTTTTTTTAGTAAAAACCCTGCAAAATCTTAAATAAACAAAATAACTGCGCAAGTTAACTGAAAATTTAGATTTATTGTAAAAATCGTGTTTTTGTAAAAAAAAATGTCTGAATAATACTGAATAAAGTTAGTGTATTTAGTTTAGGTAAGAATTAAAGGCTGCTAAAGGACCTATGAACTATGTCATATAAAAATAGTAGTTTACATAACAAGAGTGCTAAGTAGCAATTTACGCATATTCGCATAAACGTAGTTCCGCGAGTGCGTAATTGCTTTACAACTCGAGGAATGTACATTACTTTATCTACACACAACACAACACACAACACAACATTTTCAACCATTTTAATTTTTTTGAGTTAGAAATTGACAGTTTTAACAAATATTTACTTAATTTCACCAAGATATTGGCAAACAAGCAAAAATTCCCTGGCACAACTGTTATGTAACAATAGCAACCACACTTATCCCATGAAGTTCCCTTACTGTGCGATTTTTTAATATTACAAAACACTATGCTTAGTGACATTTACTTAGATTGTCAGTTGTAAAAAAATTTGGCATTTTACATAGTGGTCGTAGATAAATACATGAAGATTATAAAGTTTTAAAGATTTTTTAATATTACACAACACTATGCGTAAAGTGACGTTTACTTGTTAGTTGTACAAAATTTGGCGCTTCACATAGCCCTGCTTAAAATACCCCATAGAGACCTATATAAAATAATCTATCGGGCGCTACCGGATTCAATATGTGCATTTGTCCATGGTTTTTTCCGGATACGGCCCGATAAAAAATTTGTAGGAAATTACCTATAGGCACACCATAACTTTTACATTTTCCCTATTGAGACCGATAGCAAATAACTCAATGAAGGTTATATAGGGATATCCCTATTGAACAACCATAAATCCCAACTACGGCTCCTATACAAACCGATACACCCTATAGAAACACCATACATTCCGATACAAATATCTAACGGTTTGAACAGGGTCTCTATGGGATATTTTAAGCAGGGAGTGGTCATAAACCTAAATAGTTTTCTAAGGTTAACTTTATTTAAACTTTAATTATTAGGATTTATTAAAAATGAAGTATAATATTTAGTTAAGGGCTGGTACAAACTTTACACAAGGATAATTTAAAAAAGAGCAGAGGGAAAAATAATCTAAAGAAGTTTTATACAAAATTACTTAACAATTAATTCGATTGCGCGGACGTTATTATTTTTTATGTATTTTTGTATTTGTATTTCAGTGATCCTATAGCATCATTTAATCCTTACGTAAACTAAGTACACTAGGTATAATTATAATAATTAATAATTTTCCATTAATATTTTTTGGAAATAGGATTTAATCCCTTAATTTTACTAAGCGTGTTGCATAGGATGCAGGGTATTCACAGCATAAATTACGCTATCTCTCTCGATGACTTATCGGTCTATCGCTTACTGCTTTGCGTAGACAGCATGCCAGTTGTTTGGGTGAGCCGTGCCTACACATGCAATCATGGTCGTGCCATATCTAAGGGTTGATACCCTTTGACACTATTAAACCTACTTTTTTTCCCTGTAAAGTACCAAAGAAGTTCCTTTTGGGGCATATCCATATTTATGGGTGTCTGCTGATATACTTGTTACTCCTGGCAGTCTAAAATCGCAAATGGGTATAGGAAAACCGGCGTCTTCCATAAAACAAGTCAAAAACCCACCCAGACAAGAGTCCACATGGACAGGAATGTTATATTTTAAACCCAATTCAGAAATTGCTTTAATATCATCCATTGTTCCATATGGGAAATTTGGAGCTGAACCTGCAAGCTAAATTTCAATGGAAGGTCATTTTTTTTAATAAAAAATTCTTACCATTATGGTATTACTGGTAATTGCTTGCCTCATCGCTTTTATATCTACTTGATATGTTGTAGGATCAACAGGTATAGACCTAACCTTTAATTTTAAATATTGAGATGCTTTGTCAAAAGCTGAATGTATGGTAGATGGCACAACCATTTCAGGGTATTTTATACCCTTTATTTCCCTACCATAATCTCTATATGCCTTACAGGCCATTAAGATTGACTCCGTTCCTCCACTGGTCATCTAAAAACGTTCTCATTATGTTAAAAATGCTTTAGATACTTTTTTAAATCTGATATATAAAGGGTGGTCCAAAAGTAATGGTACACTGTAATGTATTTAACTTTACTTTAATAATTCCGTTTTTGTTCGATGACTTAAATAAAACGCCAATACTATTAAAATTAGTTTTATTTTACATCAAGTGCTTGCAATCGCACAACACTGCCACCCCGCCCCAGCACACAACAGTGGGGAGGTGCGTGGCGCACTCAAATACACAATATCACAATCTTTCCCTCTAAAAAAATAAAATAAAAAATGATTCTGCACCCCAAAAATAAAAAATGCGAATAAAAATTTATACAGGATACAAGTTTAGGTATACTGCAGTCTTTCCACCGGCTTAACAATTGTTTTTGGTCTGTTTTGTAGACGCTCCATCTCTTTACTACTAGTTAAACTTTCTACAATATTACTAACATTACTACCAGCTACACCTTGTTTACTTACACTACTATTAACATTTTCTTCCTTATTTATATAATTATCACTATTACTTATCACGGAAAAGACATCACTACTAATTACAGGTACCGAAGAAATTAAATATATTTTTAGTTGATTACAACGTTGTTTCCAAGTTTTTTGGGGTGAAGGCACTTCTACCAAATAAGTTTTTTTCCCTATTATTTTTATGACAGTTCCTTTAACAAATGTTGGCTCGCTAAAATTATTGTAATTTTTTACTAAAACATTTACTCCTATACTAAAATCTATAATTCTAAGTACAGCCGGACTGACCAGTGTGGTGTTATTCGATAATCAAAAAGAAATCTACACAACGCAATGCCCGCATCTTCCCGAGAATCAAAAAGAGCCTTTTTAAGGGCATTTTTAGCAGTTTTTACAGAGTTCCCCGCAGCTCCATTTGAAGCGGGGCAGTAAGGTGAGCTCGTAAGATGCTTAATATTATTTTTATCTAGGAAGCTTTCAAAATCTTCTGAAACCAAAGAGCTTCCATTATCTAAGACTATTAAAGTTGGAAGTCCAAAAGTGCAAAACAACCTCCTTAGTACGCCCACAGTCTGCCTTTATTAATAATAGTCATTTCAAAAGCTTCCAGCCATTTAGTGTGAGCATCTAAAACTACCAGATAGTTTTTTTTGTTTAATTCAAAATAATCAAGATGTAGTCTTTTCCGAGGCCAAGGGGCTAATTTTGATTTTGGTGAGCTATTTGCATGAACCATGCAAGCCTAAACTAGGAAACCAAACATACCCCCCTGCCATACTTTTCATTTTTACAACCCCCATGTAAGTTAAATGTATCTCCTTTAAAATTGTATGCTGTGGTGACTTGGGAATGACTATTCTATGTTTCCATAGTATGCAACCGTCCTTACGCAAAAATCAAACCTTTTCAAAATATGGATTTAGATCCCGATGTTTTAAAGGTTTTAGCCACTCTATTTTAATGTAGTGCATTATTTCCTGTAAAACTTGTCTGAAGCAGTTTCTTTCTTAAGAGTTTTAAAATTTAATATGATAACATTATTTGAGAAAAAATAGCAATAATCGACTTTAAGCTGATCTTCACTTAAAGATTAGTTTTTGTTGTCCGCGGGCATACCGTATGATCCGGGCATACTTTTAATGTATTCAATTTCGTTATTGTATCCTGATAAAATTACTGCCCAATGTCTAAGCCCAACTACGGAAAATTGTGGAATACTTATTTTCGACAAAAATTGTTACTAGTGATTTGTGATCTGTAATAAGCTTAATTTTTTCTAGGTACAGATACTGATTAAACTTTAACACTCTGAAAATAATAGACAAACCTATGGCGTGCCATTTTACTTTTTAATTGTATAAAAATATTTATTAGAAAGAAAATTTTCTAAAAAAATAATTCCAACAGAAAAAGCAAAATGACTTCGTAATATGCCAATTAAAATGATAAAATGATAAAAAAATGCTGCATTTTTATTTCTGTTGTTATAAATTTGTATATTTTGCTTTACCCAATTCTTTTTGTGTTCAATATTTTTTTGACACGATTTTATTCTGTTAATTTTTTTTCTCAGTACATTATACAAATGCAAACTTTAATATTATTATAATAAACAATTCTAATTCTAGGAATTAAAATTCTTGGTAATTTTTATTCTACCAATTAAAATTATGACTTTTAAAATTATGTCTTTACATAATTTTAATTCGGCGCTGCCATTGGTGCGGTTGAGTTTGTAACTATAAGTAGTTCCACTGCTCTAGTATTGCATCTTGAGATTGAGAACTAGATAGGCAAATGCACAACATAATATGGTTCATATGTACTACCCAAGAGGAGCGCTTAAACTAACTAAAAAACTGGGTTGCCTACTTCGAAACGTCATAAATTTGAATTTGTGTGGTTATGTTAGACGTTATTTTAAATAATAATCTTAGCTTTATTTACCGCCATGAATTTTAAGTTGAATATTAAAATATAACGTTTTAAGCCTGATTTATAGATTGCCTTCCTTACTTCCTCCCGTAAAAGTTAAACAATACCAAAACCGTAGTGCTGTTTATAGATTCCCGTACGGATAGTGGTAGTTCATATGCACTACATAAGCGCTCCTCTGCCCAAGCAATTTCACCTACCACAGTTGTCATTTTTGGCCGCTGTACCGCAGCGCCAAATTAAAATTATGTAAACCATAATTTTAAATGGTAGAATAAAAATTCAACAGAATAATAATTCAGTAAATTAAATTTATAAATAGCACAAGAAAAACTCAATATACTTAAACAATAATGAAAATGAATTAAAACATTTAAAGCATAAAAAGAACTCGCCCACAAAATAGATGTTCAAATAAAAATTCGTAAAATAAATTTACGACAGCAGGATAAAAGAACGCTAGCATTGCATGTTAAATTGAAAATACCTTTATCTTAATAAAAATTGGTAGAATTTTAAATAAGTCAAATGATAAATTATCTAAAGAAAAATGATCTTCCATTAAAAATATTTTTGGACGTGTCAAATTTTAATTCCCCACAGAAAAATTGTTCAAAACTTTAATACCTTGCAAAGAAATGCATTATTTTTTTCAATGTAGAATAAAAATGAATTAAAATTATGTTAACGATAAAAATAATTCAATTTCGTGCCTATACTTTTCCATGTATTATGATTTTTTTTTATGTCTAGACAAAATTTAAAATCCATTTTTGTGCTCCTTGCATAATAAAAATTGACTTGTCATAGTGTATTAATAATTTTTATTCTTCTTGGCCATTTTTATTTTACTTTGAATTTTTCTGGTATTAAAAAGTAAAACGGCACGCCATACAAACCCTTCTTTTCAATTTGTGAATATTTTTTCTCTGCTTCCGACAAGGTTCAAGAGGCAAAGGCATAGGCTTTTCATCACCTAAAGGGTATTTATGGCTTAATACGGCACACACCTATTGCAACATTTGAGGCATCAACCGTTAAGTTCTCGCACTTTTAACAAATTGTACAGTGGACTTAAAATAGAAGACATATTTTTAATAAATCTACCATAATAATTTATGGTACCCAGTATGGATTGAAATTCAATAACATTTTTAGGTGTAGCAGCATTCTCAATTGCCAAAGTTTTATTTTTTGTAGAGTGCAACCCTTATTTATCTATAAAAAACCCCAAGTACTCAACGCTCTTTTTAAAAAAATCGCATTTCTTAAAATTTACCTTTAATCCTGACTCTTGTAAAACGGTTAAAACATTTTTAAGTGATCCAAATATGAAATGTTGTCATAACTAAAATATCATCTTGAAAGACTACTACACCTGGTACCCAAGTGGTGCATCCATGACTTTTTGAAATTTGGCGGGTGCACAAGAAATCCCAAAGGTTAAATGGTTGTACCTAAATAGCCCCAAATGTGTAGAAATAGTTAAAAGCTCCTTACTCTCGCCATCTATGCCTATTTGCTGAAAGGCTTGCGACAAATCAAGCTTTGAGAACTACATTCCTCCCTGCAGCTTGCTTTTCGATTCTCGAAAGGGGATGCTGGTCCCCACAAATTCTGACGTCACTATTTACTGTACTCTACTGCTGAAATAATATCTAAAAACAAAGGTCGTTCAATTTCTGTTTCAACTTTGGATTTAATAGCGAAAGGTATAGGTCAAGCAGTTATAAATTTTGGTAGTATACTTGGATCCTTTAAATACATTTTTTCTAAACTTTTACTAAATAAACCCAAACCCAGAGAAAATACCTTAGGAAACTCCTTGACTAAATTTTCTGTTGAAAAATTTGTTACATTATTATAAAAATAAAATCCTACGTTGTACAAATTCAGAAAGTCTCGTCAAACAATTGGTGGACCTCCATTTTTCATCACGTTTTCAGCGTTTTCAGTGTTCTTTGCGAAGCAAAGGATTCTAATGTGGCTTCAGTGGATAGTTTATCAGTCACCTCGTACAACGAGAACCGCCGTCAACATCCATTCTTTGAACAATGGCCATTTTCTCGCCGTAAGACAGCTTGTCGGAAAACAAGGCAAAGGCTCATCCGACAAGTGATGCTCTAAAACATCCCTTGCTGCTGCACCTATTTCGGAATCAATCTCATTAATCGGATCATCTGCTGCAAAAGGGGCTTCAATCCTAATCGTAAACTGTGACGCTAGTACTAGAGTCAAGACAATCGTAGTGCTCTTTTGTAAATGTATCCCAAACATCTCTGAATCTCTTAAATAATGGAAACTCGGGAGAGCTTGATGGCCCAAAGCATAGTGTAAATACTTTTGAAGGCATTATTTCAGACGTGATGACGGCAAGCAAGCCATAAAAGATCACGGCCCGTCTTTGCTTCTAGGAGAGTGCACGCTCCTTTTTTGGCACCGGTGTTAGAGGCAGTGGTGTCAAAACCCAAAGCTCGAACTTGATTAGTGACATTCCACTTTTTCAATGTGTCAAAAACAGCATCGGACGTGTTTTTTGCTGTTCCTGCAGTAAGTTTGGGTACGCCTAACAG